CTGTGACAATAAAGGCAGAAATACTGTTGCAAATGTATCTAAGGCCCCGGGTGAAACCCACAGCAGATAACATAACAGAGAACCCACCCATCTTCTCTCATCATTTTGAGGATGTCTTCCCAGCCCTCAGTCTTTCGGTTTCTACATAGTATCGGATGTTACAATTTATACAAAGGACACATTTGGGCAAAATTAAGTATCTACCAAGAACCCAGCAGTCTCTCTATGGAAGGCAGTTTCCCAGACAGCAACACCCTCAGCACACTCCAGGGCAGAGGACACTGAAATAGTATGTCCAACACAGTAGCAACCCGTCCATATTCCTTACTCAATATTACAATTCTCCCCAATACATAAATATTCTTTGTACCATGCATTACACACCAGCGTGGGCCCACTGACGTCACGGCTACTATTCTAATGGTTGACCACTGGACCTCAAGTTTGCCATCTACACAGTGGATGGACATGCTGGTCGGGGCTCCAGAGGGATGGCAAACTGCCTCTCATGTGACGAGCTTGTGGTGGAGTGCCTCCGAACTGGAGGAGATGGGCAGGGCAAGGGGGCCGGGTAGAGGATTTTAGAATAATACTGCTTAGGAGTGTGTATTGGAGATAACTACTACACTTTGTCTACCTTTAATCCTAGACTTGAGTAACTGCATGTTCATGCAAAAAAATACACTTCTATTTTAGAGGAGGCAGAGCAGTCTGTTAGGAAAGCGGATTCTGGGGGATCTGAAGGCATCTCTCTCAAAAGTGCTGTTTACTTGGTAAGTCTCTTGGCGACATCACTGTATGCGATTTCCACCTCCTTGTCGCTGGGGCAGGTGTTGGTGAACTCATCCCTGCTGTAGGCATTTGTCAGGTATCTCCAGATGCCCGTCATTCCTTTAGGAATATCAAAGTTGCGGTATTTTTTGGCCACCACCTATAAAATACAAGAGACCAAGAGTTACACCTATCTTCCAAGTCTCCACACTAAGCACGTCTGACTGAAGGACCATTCATTCTGTGAACCTTTGTCAGCACATTCTAGAGGCAGAAGCTCTTCCATGTTCTGTTCCCAGCTTCCATGCTGGGCAGCTCACAACAGCCTGTAACCCAGCAAGGAGAAAGGCACCCTTCTGGCCTCCCAGGTTAGCCAGGTGAACGCGCGCACTCAGAGAGAGCAAGCTACATTTCACTAGGACTAGGACCGCATGCTGCATGCACTTGGAAATGTGGCAGCGGCTACAGAAGCCTGCCTCGGACTTGGGGAGATGGCTGAGTACAATCATCGCTGGGGAAGTATGTTTTAAACACACGCTACTTTCAGTTTGCTTTCTTTTCTTCCTTTTTCAGTCTGGGCTTGTTTTTGGTATAGTCTCATGTTAGTTACGCTGGCCTTGAACTCTCCATCTCCTGCCCTCATCTCCCAAATGCTGGGATTGCATACCAGCTTCTCAAATGGTTTTTCTTATCTTAGAGCTTTACTACATAACTAATGCTCATTTAATAACTGAGTGTGGCGACCACTTGGCATTTCTGGTTTTGAATTAAAAAAGTCAGGTAGGGGTTGATCACCAAATGGGATTTGACAGGGTTAGGCCAGTTCAGAGTTACCCATGACATCTTTGAGTTTTTATTCTGTCACAGGAAAAGAGAAAAAAAATTCTTGCTCCAGTCTCAGTGTTTTCCTCCCTGAGACAGGGTCTCACACAGCCCAGCTCTACTTTCTATTTAAGTGGCCCGAGGACGTGTTGACGGGGTCCTCTCTGGCCGGGGTGGAGAATCACTGCTCCGGCAGCACCCCCACTTCCGGCAGGCCCACCTTGACAATGTGCAGCTTGGGCAGCAGGTTGCAGTCTGCCAATGTCATCTCATCGCCGTCCAGAAATCTACGTGTGGAAAACTTGATGTCCTCCATACTGTTCTCATCAATTTCATCAGGGAGGGGCGAATTCAGATACTCATCCAGTTTCTGCAGAGTCTTCAGGAGCCCCCTCTCCAGCGCTGAAACAGACACAAACACCGTCAGAGAGGAAGCCAGCCCTGAGCAGGGCTGTGCCTCGGTAACTGCGGGATGTTCACTAGTACCCCGGGCCCTCACACCCTCAGCTCGGCTCCAGAGCAAGACAGAAGGCCCTGCCTGCCCCTGGAGCTTGTCTACACTCTCACTCCAGCAAGCGTATAAACAAATGAGAGTACTGTCTATTTTGCCAACCAACAAACGCCCCCCCCCCCCCCACACACACACACGCTGCAGCCCAACCCGCTGGTGTGTAACCGCAAAGACAGGTGGGGAAGGCAAGTCTACTGATTCACAGCCGGGAGGAGTTCTTATCAAGAGGGAGAGCACGAGAAAGTGGTCAGGAGGCACCAAAGCCTGGGGTCTCAGCCTGCCTTGTAACACACAAGAGGCCAAGAACAGGACTGCCTCGCCCAAGACCCGAGTCAGAACGGGAAGGCACAGTTACAGTTCTGAACTGGCTGCCTCCTTGAGAGCCAGAACTAGAGACAGCGGCTGTCAATGCCTCGGAAGTCGGACTAAACCATGTGCACGCACCTGAGAGTCAGGTCAGCTAGCCTTAGAGGAGGGAGCGGGAGCATTATAGACAGGAATATAGAACAACAGCCTCCACTAACCCCTTCCTTTTGTGTTGTTGCTGGTTTGGAGAGGAGTGTATGTGTGTGTGTGTGTGTGTGTGTGTGTGTGTGAGAGAGAGAGAGAGAGAGAGAGAGAGAGAGAGAGAGAGAGAGAGAGGGGAGTACTGGATCCTAGACCTAGTGCATGACAGACAACCCCCCAGCTATTGAACGATTATCCCCAGCCTAATCCACCTCCCCCACAATTCTCAAAATAGATTAATTCATGCTAACATCTGGTAAAAAGAAAAAATAAGGGTAAATATCATGACCTTGTTCACAGCAATACATACATGTGTAAGTATGAAGAAGGTTGGAGCCTTTAAACCATAAAGTCAAGTATTACACGCTTTACATCAGGTATTTCACCAGCAACATAAATCCACCCTATCAACACTTCTTCCAATTGCTACCTCCCTCCCCATCCCTCAGTTTCTCTGTGGCAATGGATGAAGTCTGGCTATGTAAGAACTTATAGGGACCAAAAGATGAATGAATTTAAAAGACAAAAAGCAACAGAGTTCAGAAGCCGTGTGAACAAGTAGAAGGGATATATTCAACAAAATATAAACTTGATCTTGTAAACTAGAGTAGATTTGAGTACTTAGAGGAACTGCTTGGGAAGGATTATGAGATGTGGCCTTTGGAGGACGTATGTCCCGAGGGAATGGGCTTTGGGGGAATCAAAAGTACATGTCATTCCCTGTGTGTGTGTGTGTGTGTGTGTGTGTGTGTGTGTGTGTGTGTGTGTGTCTGTCTGTCTGTCTGTCTGTCTGTCTGTCTGTCTCTTGGATCAGACGGAAGCTCTCAGCCAGTGCCTCAACACCACACCCACCTGTCTGCCTGCTGCCATGCTCTGTGATGACCATGGACAAGCCCTCTGAAACTGTAAGCCCTAATAAATGCTTTCTTCTATAAGTGGCCTTGGTCCTGGTATCTCAGCACAGCAACAGAAAAGGAATTAAGACATGGACCTTTCCTTTCCTTCTCTCAGGCTGACACTACCAAGAAAACCCTCAGAAGCAGTGACAGTGAGCACCCTGTTCTAGCTCCCAATCTCAAGGAGGAAATGGAAATCTTCCAGTATTCCCAAGTATGGTGGTTGCTACAATTTCCTACAGAATTTCCTACAGAAAATGATAGCAAACAGTATACTGTATGTAACAGAGTCTCACTATGTGGTCCTGGTTGACCTCAAACTTGCTCCGGTCATCCTACCTCCGTCTTGTGAGTGATGGAATTACTGGATCATCATGCCAGGCAGGAAAAAGAAAAATGAGTTTCTTAAAAATGTATGGAGAACGGGGCTGAAAGGTGGCTCAGAGGTTAACAGCACTGGCTGCTCTTCTAGAGGACCCAGGTTCAATTCCCAGCACCCAAATGGCAGCTCATGTCTGTCTGTAACTCCAATTGTCTGTAACTCCAATTCCAGAGCTTCTGACACCCTCACACAGACATACATGCAGGCAAAACACCAATGCACATAAAAATTAGAAAATGTGTTGAGCTTGCTGCTAAGCATCTGTGGGGGCCGATGGGAATGAAGGAGGCACCGTGTCTGGCTGTGAAACACAGAATAAATCCCCTTTAACACGTAAAAAGAGAGTGGATGAAGTTTCTACTTCGGTAAATACCAAGTTTTATGTGTGTACTGTGCGAAGATGTGTTGCTGTGATTGGTGTAAAAAAAAAAAAAAAGCTGAATGGCCAATAACTAGGCAGGAGAGATAGAGGAGAAAATCAAGACCCAAAATCAAGACCCACAAAAGGCACCATCAAAACTCGGAACAAGTTGGCTACCAAGAAGAGGAAAGAGAAAAGCCATGTGGTAAAATGTAGATTAATAAAAATGTGGGTTAATTTAAGTTATAAGAGCTAGTGGTGCAAGCCTAACTATAGGCCGAGCTTTCATAATGAATAAGTCTCCACGTCATTTTCTGTGAGCTGGTGCTCTCCCCGCCAAACCTGATTACAGACAGCGACAAACACACAGGCTGGATCCATCAAGATCACCCTCACTATCTCCACAATCAAACAGGAGGGCTTTTTCTGGGTTTTTTTGTTTTGTTTTGTTTTGTTTAGAAAACAAATAGGCAGCAGAGGATGATAGAATTCAGAAATAAATTTGGGGAATTATGAGCACTCAGCTGAACCTGGAGACATGGCAGGGAATCATCATTTAAAAATAAAGATTAAAAACACACAGCAATAGCTACTACCTTCTTTTAATATTATACAAGACAATGGTAAAGCATACATAGCTAAAACACAATGATACAATTATTAATAATATGAACTAATAACAATCCAGGGTTAAAAATAGCTAGGTTAGTAAGGAATTGAGGGCATGATGGAAAAATCTTTTTATGGTTGTACTTAAAAGAAAAGAAACAGCTGGGTGGTGGTGGCACACACCTTTTATCCCAGCATGCAGAGGCACGTGGATCTCTGTGAGTCTGAGGCCAGCCTGGTCTACAGAGCAAGTTCCAGGACAGCCAGGGCTACACAGAGAAACCCTGTCTCAAAAAAACAGACAACAAAATCAGTGAAAATGGAGAAAGGAAAATCAGTAATAATTTATGTCATTATTAATAAAAATTAATGATTCATCGTAAGGTATGGCCAATGAAAAAAAAGACACAAACAGGCACGAGGAGGTTCCAAAAACTGCCAGTCAATGAACCCAACCAAGTTCCAAGGTTCAGCTCCCAGGCAAAGGCCTCTGTGGATCGGACAAGGAAACACCAAGACTAACCACTGGGGGGCAGCAGCAGGTCGCTAGAAAGGGGTCTGTCTGCAAGTTAGGACTGTTCCTCTCCTATCTCTAGGAAGCTAGTCCCAAAAAACAAAGAAACAAAATGCAATGAAGTATACATTGCTTAAAATTAATTATGAAAATGAAAAACATTTTGGCCTATGGAAATATAGCAAAATTTAAAAACGCAGACACACCAGTCAGAAGTCTATGGAAATGACCACTTTGAGGTTACAGAAAATACAAGCTGGTACAGACTTTTGAAATTTTGGCAAAATTAAAATGCATAAAATTGCTAGACACGGTGGCACAAGTCTATAATCTGCATCCAGGAGAGCTGAGGGTCACACAGTAAGACGCCATCTCAGAGGAGGAGGAAAGACTCGGGCCTGCCCACACGTATTTGGAATCTAGGATAGTCTTGGGCAGCATGGTCACGGCCAAAACCCTTTGAGGCCATCTACAAGGTCCAACTGGGAAATGGCAGATACAAGTCCTATTGAATAAGGAGCATTTCTAAAGCCTGAGGCACACTTGTTTTGACTGGAAGGACTGGGGTGGGGGTGGTACAATTCACAGTCTTCTCCTGCCTCAGCCTCAGGAATGCTGGGGTCACAAATGACAAAAAGCATTTTTTTTGGGGGGGGAGGTGGTGAGACAGGGTTTCTCTGTGTAGTTTTAGAGCCTGTCCTGGATCTCGCTCTGTAGACCAGGCTGGCCTCGAACTCACAGAGATCCGCCTGGCTCTGCCTTCCAAGTACTGGGATTAAAGGTGTGTGCCACCACCACCCGGCTGACAGGAAGCATTTCTAATACATAATAATGTGAATATGCACAAGGTTTTATATAAAACGACTCCCAGTCATCTAGGATCTGCTATTGAATTACATACTGAAATTATATTGAATTTACTCTCCCAACAGCAAGTCAGAGAGGATCAGAGGAAGTGTCTGCTGGACAGGACAGGACTCATGAACACACAGCAGCTGCGTTCTCCGCACAAGCCAAACCAGTTAGCATTCTAACATGGGAATGGGGAAGACGCATGAGCCCCACCCCTAGCTGAGGAACTACTGACAGTTGATGTCTTCTGGGGGAGGGAGAGTCAGTTTTCTTTAAAGGTGTGGCTCCTGGTAGGTCACCCAGTTTCCAGTGGGTGGCCCCACACCCAGGAATATATGAACAGCACAAATTGTCATCAGTGGGTTATTAAAAAAAGACATGAAGTTGAAGGAGTGGGGGGATGGGGGGACTTAGGGGGGAGGAGAGTGAACAGGACAGGGTCAAAATACATCGTGTGCATGTATGATAGTCTCAAAGAGCAAAAATAGCATTAAAATTATCCCTCCACAACCTTAGCTTTTCCAATAAGCAAAACTTGCTCTATTACTTATATGATTTGAATGGGCAGATTAAATGTGACATAAACATTTCTGTTGGTAAAATAGAGACATCAATCTAAGCACCGGCCCTTGTCCATTTTCACTAGACTAATACGATAGCATCTAGACAGCTAAGTCCTTAGAATTAGGTCCTAAGGGTCTTTAAACTCTTCGTATGTAATGGATTTTACAAATATTTACCAGGCTGATAAAGCCAAGACTTGTCAATGAAAAGGTGACGCCCATGTCTGTGTAAACTGCCGAGTGTGAGTGTGAGTGTGAGTGTGAGTTGGGAGACGCTGCCGCCGCTACCTCGGCTTATTAAAAGCGTGTAATTGCCCTCAACCGACGGTAAGAGAACGGCAGCCAGCACACAAGGGACAGCATTCAACGCAAAGTGGATTTCAAAGTGTTTTCTAAAGTCTCAGGGCAGTGGCGGTCCCTGTGGGAAAAGGTAGCTCGGCAACTAGAATTCTTATTTACCAATAGGTATTGACTAGGAAGAAAGCCTTCTGCGTTAAGTGCTTGCCTCGTCCTTCCTTACTGGCTGCAGCACTCTAAAGACAGTAGGCGTAGGTGGCCACTTAGGCAGTAACAACTTGACAGGTAAAAATAGAATACAAAGTTATACTTAAGTGAGTCACTCTCCTTCCCCAGCCCTCATCCCCCAAGGCAAAGGAAAACTCAACTTTATTTTCCTCTTCTACCCAACATGGAGTAAAAGAAATCCACCCGAAACTGCAGCCCTCAAAAACTGCACACAGAAATAAAAACATTACAAAGAGCACAAGGGTGGTCAGCTAGCAGACCTGGGTATAAAGGCCAGCTCTGTGAAAACACTGCCTGCACAAGCAGAGAGCAAAACACACACTCTGGGAAGAGGGGACTCCAACTTAACCATTTGCTTAGAGTATAAATTGCATAGAGAGAGACATTCTTAGTCAGGAAAATGGCTAATTACTCAAGAAAATTGCTTCTAAACCAAGGCAGCCGCTGGAACACATTATAAAAATAGATGTAAGCCAAGCCTGGGCACTAAAACTGTCCCCTCCCTCTTCACTGAAGAAAAACACTCCAGAAACCAAGAGTAAAGACACGGAATCCCACACTGAATTATGAAAGGCTGTAAGCTTAGAGCTGGAAGCTGAAATACCAGGGAAAGTAGCAAGAGCTTTGCTTTTGGGTATTTGCTGCTACAACAGCACTGATCATCAACCCCCATCCCCAGGCTGCCAGGGCTTCGGAGCCCAGCTCAAACTACCACCCTGCCTACAGCCAGAGCAGGCACAACACAGTTTTAGAGGGCAGACTTTTGTCTGTTTTTTGTTACTGTTCTAACTTTTTGGGTTTGGGTTTTTTTTTTTTGTTTTGTTTTTGTTTTTTAAAGATAATGGTCTTTAATTCTCTAAGTTCTCACTTATGCAACATAAAAAAGGCATAATTATGTGACTGGATAGGACATTTTTCCAAAAAAGCCGTTCCCTCCATCATCTGGTCAGTAGTATATAAATATTCACAATGAAAAAATAGGCAAGAAGGGAACCCTCCAACATCCAAGCTGTTTCTTTCCAACACTTATCAGAATTTTGAAAATAAAACAATCCCGCCTTGCTTCCTTCGTACCCAGTGCTCAGCTGGCGGTCTGCACAGCTGGGCTGTGCTAGCCCAGGACACCCTCTCCACATGGCTCCCGTTCTTCTGGACTGCTTTACAAGTTATTTGAAATAGCAAACTAAATATCAAAATGTAAACTTTGGAAGAGAGGGTTTGGGTTTTTTATTTGGTTTTTTGACATTTCCATGTAGCCAGGCTGGCCTCAAACTCTGTATCTTTTAATTAAAACAAACAAACAAGTTGTCTCTATACTACTAAACTATCCCTCACCATAATGACCTGAACCAAAATTTCTAGTTTTATGATCTGCAGGCTGGTGAGTCCAATCACCTAAAGGCCACACCCAAAACTGCTCAAGAGGAGGAATCAGCAGCGCGCGCGCACACACACACACACACACACACACACACACACACACACACACACACACACAGCAAAGCACAGAGCTCGTTTAGGCTGCCAGTCCCCCACAATAAACAAGTGATTTAGTTATCAGTCAATCAAAGCTAACTCTATCTCACCACCACAACCAATCTGCCCACCCCTGGACGTGTCCTCAGTTCTCTGTGGGGTTCCCTTGAGTAACTCTCAGTGTCTGAGAACTCAACGCCTCTCATCACACATCTACCAGACTCCAGGCACCGCACCAGAGCAGGTGCTGGATGCGCAGCAACTTAACCACTTCCCCGGGGTTCTCACTGCCCTCCACCGACAGCTCTGATCCTTACAGGAAAGCCTCAACTCCACACACTCCCTCCTCACACTGTCTTCATAACAGCTCATACTGTTGTTTGGGTTTTGTTTCTGTTGTGACGATCCAATTTATTTTATTTTATTTTATTTTATTTTATTTTACCTTCATTGGCTTCTGGCCTTGAGTTCTTGATGTAAGCAGAGAATTTGGCAAAGATGTCCATTCCAGCAGTGTTTGACTCCGGGTGCTTTGGTGAAAGCTTTAAATACCTAAATAGAAAAGGTGATGCTGGATTACAGATCCTTCCAGAAGAAATTACCCCAAGTCCTATCAATCTGCAAGCCACTCTTCAGGTGACACCTGCAGAAATCTCTCAACAGTTACTGACCTAAGAAACACCATCACCTGTTTTCTATGGTAGTTTTTAAATGGTTTTTTTTTTCGTTAGGAAACAAAGCTCTGCATGGTGTTTTTGTTCACATATTAATATTCCTGGCAATTAAAGGGCATCCACTCCCCAGCTCCATTTAGTGATTAGAATGCTAAGGAAATGGCTTGTTAAGGGGTCTGGGCCAGGAGAACACACAGGAACAGATAGATGTCCTAGGATGAGACTTTTCAAGCAGGCCATCCAAGGGAGCTTTTCATGGTCAAGGGAATGTACTCCATCTTCACGTCCAACACGGCAACCATTAGTGCCAAGAGGCTATCAGAACAACTTTAAAAGAACCACAAAGAAATAAGGCAAGTCACACTCAAACTCTCTGCAGCCGGGGGCACAGCTCTCACAGCTGGGTGCTTAGTATGCTGGGCACTGGCCTGGCCTTGTGAGCAGCCTGAGGGAACCAGACAGCAGGAGGAGCCCAGGCTGGTCAAGCATCTTGATCATCCACAGCCAGCTGAGGACAAAGCAGTAGGTGGACAATTCACTTCCTAACAGCAGCCGGCCTTTCCCGGTCCCTATGTGCTAAACACGCTGTAGTTCATTTAGGACCGCAGTGCTACGCAATAAATAAATAAATAGGATGTCAGACATCATACTGAACCCTCTTTTGTGCTGTGACCAAGTTTTCAACTTTAAGAAAGTCATGACACACCAGCTTTGAATAGGCCTGCACACGCATGTACTTTACGTGTTTAAATTTTAACCACACATATTCATCAATGTTTCTTCCTTAGAATGGAAGTCTGTGTGTGGGAAAAGTCTGGGCCACTCCCCTTCCTTCAGCAGACCTTGCTTCATCTCAGAGGATGGCCTAGAGACACTCAGTCCCTGAGCCTTGCTTCAGAGAATATTAATTAGCTGGAAGGCCTTGGAAAGTAAGGTACAATTTCACACTAAACTACTTATTTCAACTTATTCGAGAGGATGCTCTCTGGTCTATTTCCCTTAAATTAAAATGAAGGGGAAACAAAATTTGAAAGAAATTATATTACAATGCAATGTTTTATTCTGTGTCTCTCTCATACACATACACATTTACAAACATATATATTCCAGGCTGGCCTCAAATTCACAATCCTCCTGCCCCAGCCTTCTGAGTGCTGGAATCAGTCAGTGTATTTACATTTTTTCTGCTTGCTACTGTGAATTCAGTAAAGGTCTATCTTCTAAAAAAAAAAAAAAAAAAAACTCAGGCTGGTTTTCTTTTTAATAGGTCCACCTAGTCTCCAAATTTCTCACTGTTTAACCCTGGAAACTTCTCCCATAAATATTACACCACGTGTCTTAGTGAACAAACAGAATGCGTTTATGGGAATCACACACGTGCACGGACGTTCTTCCTAACCTGAATGGAGACATGAATCCCAAAGCCAACATCCCTGGCTCTTCCCTGACTCTGAAAACAGCCAGCTTGCCGTGGCGTGTTACCAATGGCTCTCACTCACAATGAAGACCCACACCGAGCATGCCAACAGAGCCAGTGTAGAGAAGACAGGGCCTCTTCAATGTCTTCCTCTAGCCCCGTGTGACCCCTACTCTTGTGAAGCTGAGGCAGGAGGATCATGAATTTGAAACCACAAAACAATAAAATGGCCTATCTTATTTATACAGACCCTGCCTCTAGAGTTACACATTGACGTCTGTCATCTTCTGTCCTAACCCTTCAGCTCTTAGAGCAAATTACAGTTCAGTTAAAAAGCCAGATTTGGGCCAGAGAGATGGAGCAGTGACCAAGAGGGCTTGCTACTCCTGCAGAAGAGACCATGGGTTCGGTCCCCAGCACATATACACTCACTCAGGCACACACACAGGTGTACACACTCACACTCACTCAGGCACACACAGGTGTACACACACACTCACTCAGGTACACGCACAGGTGTACACACACAGACACACACACACTCAGGCACACACAGGGGTACACACACACTCAGGCACACACAGGGGTACATACACACACACTCACTCAGGTACACGCACAGGTGTACACACACAGACACACACTCACTCAGGCACACACACAGGTGTACACACACTCAGGTACACACAGGTGTACACCCACACTCAGGCACACACACAGGTGTACACACTCACACACACATACACTCAGGCACGCACACATACACATTAAATAAAATGTTTTAAACCAAGTTTTAAAATTTTTTTGGGTAAGTAGTTCCTTTATTAAAAGAAAAACAAGAGGAACTAAATTATTAACTAATAAAAATAATACTTTCCCCAGAGGACAAGAGCAAGCTGTTAGACCCTGTAGTTTCTCACAGAATGCTCCTTTGCATTCAGCTTTGCACCAGTGGCCACATCTCAGGAAATGCTGGAGCCCTTGCATCTATCTGCCTGCAGGGCTGGCATCACAATGCTCACAGTTCTAGCCGCTGCCTTTGGACAGGCTAGTCTACCTGCCAGGGCAGTTCTGCTGCCCATCCCCCTTACCTGTAACAGGGCACAGCATGAAGAGCACTCATTAGGCCTGGAGAAAGCCACAGCTACATGAGTGAATTTGAGGCCAGCCTAGGCTACATCAGACCTTGGTTTAAGGAAGAGGAGGAGGGAGAAGGGAGGATGAAGAACAACAAAAATAAAATCCTGTCTATATAAAACTTTAACCAGAAACTCTTCAGGCTATAAAGAAAAAGGAAACTACCCTAGGAAGAGCTTAGCACACTATGAACACTAAAACAGAAAGACTTCCCACCCATCTCCAGTTAGAGCAGCTTTATAACCCGCCCAATAAAATGGAGAGGAAATTTCTATATAAAAAAGAACAAGTTGCAGTCCAGCACTCAAGAGGCAGAAGCAAGTGGACCTCTATGAGTTCGAGGCCAGTCTGGTCTATGGAGCGAGTTCTGGGACAGCCAGAGACACACAGAGAAAAAGAAAAGAAAAAAGGAAGAAGTTGCAGGGCATGGTCGCACATGCCTGTAACTGCAGCACTCCCGAGGCAGAGGCGGGCAGAGCTCTGAGTTCAGGGCCAGTGTAGCAGCCAAAGCAACACAGTAAGGTCCTGTCTCAATAAACAAACAATAAAAAGGAAGAGTGGAAAATGTTTATTTCCAAGGTCTAATTTAATACATCGGAGCCAAGAAACCAGAACATTTGGGTTTTAGCTCTATTTCCCCTACTATCTACTCCTGAGGAGCTGCAGCAAGAAGGAATACTAATACTAAAACTGACTTTGTTGCTGCTGAAAAGTAGGAGAAGACATAAGAAAATGTTTGCTTGGCCCAAGTGGATACACAGTTTATCCATGCACTGATTTAAAAACTTAAAATGGGGCTGGAGAGAAGGCTTAGAGGTTAAGAGCACTGGCTGCTCTTCCAGAGGTCCTGAGTTCAATTCCCAGCAACCACATGGTGGCTCACAACCATCTGTAATGAGATCTACACACTTCTGGTGTGTAGGCATACAGAATACACACTGTATACATAACAAATACATAAATCTTAAAAAAAAAAACTTAAAATATCCTTGGAAAAATGCACGTAATGAGTATTTCAGAAATGGCTTATGACAAAATACAATTTTGTTCATAGAGACTGGATGTCTTCAAACTGCTTCTCCACTTAGAATTTAAGGTCAACACAATGAACCTGGCTACATGAGAAGATTACTATCAATCAGTGGTGCTGTGGGACGGTCTGTATGTCAAATTGCTCTGATTGGTCAATAAATAAAACACTGGTTGGCCAGTGGCCAGGCAGGAAGTAGGTGAGACAAGGAGAGAGGAGAATTCTGGGAAGCGGAAGGCTGAGAGAGAGAGACACTGCAGCCGCCGCCAGGACCAGCAGCATGTGAAGATGCCGGTAAGCCACCAGCCACGTGGCAAGGTATAGATTTATGGAAATGGATTAATTTAAGCTATAAGCACAGTTAGCAAGAAGCCTGCCACGGCCATACAGTTTGTAAGCAATATAAGTCTCTGTGTTTACTTGGTTGGGTCTGAGCGGCTGTGGGACTGGCGGGTGACAAAGATTTGTCCCTGTGGGCAAGGCGGAAAACTCTAGCTACACAGTGGTCTGAGAATAAGTTGCCAATTGGTACCTTCCTCAGAGTTGACAGACTTAAGAACAGAGAGATCTAGAGGCTTCTATGATGCAACAATCTAGAGCCATTTCCAGTAAGTCAGACGCATGTTCCTAGTTGAGTGTACAAAGTCCCCCTTTCTGCTGAGACTTTGGCTGTGGTTTATTGGCATCCAAATTAGACGCATGGGCTGGGAGAGGGAATTAGGATCCTTTTAAGTGTTGTTCACAGATACTTTTCAGGAAATGAAAGGATCCCAGGACTACTGGAAAGCAGAGAGAAAAGAAACTTGAGACTCTCACAGAGAAGGAAGGACGGAGGAGGGCTTGTAGGCTGTTAGTATTTTAGAGCAGGATTAAGAGAATATAGCACAAAATTACCAACCCAGCACACAATGTGCTGATCTGCATCCTTCCTTTCTGCAGTCACACCTCCACTTAACTGTGTATATGGACTTCAACTGAACAAGTAAAGCTTAGTTAAGGGAGGGTCAGCTCTCCTACACAAACCTTTCCTCCACCCACTCCTGCATCCCACTTGGATTTGATTATGCTGCTTATGTGCTTTGTTTTTTGAGACAGGGTCTCCCTCTGTGGCCCTGGCTGGCCTAGAACACACTCTATAGACCATGCTGGTCTTGAACTCACAGAGATCTGCCTGCCTCTGCCTCCTGAGTGCTGGAACTGAAGATGTGCGCCACCACACCAGGCTGCTGCTATGTTTTTTCAAGAGCAGGAGCTAAGCTTCCTTTCCTGCTGATCCACACTGTTCTGCTGTATAATGACTGAATAGAAGATAGACTGATGGATGGACTGATGAATGGATAGACTGATGAGTGGACTGATGGGTTGATGAGTGAATGGATGGACTGATGAATGGATGGATGGACTGATGAATGGATGGATAGACTGATGAGTGGTTGGATGGATGGATTGATGAGTGGATGGATGGACAGACTGATGAGTGGATGGATGGATGGATGGATGGATGGATGGATGGAGGTGAGTTAGTGGGGAGATGGACAGATACTGAGCAACTAATTTTGGAACCATCTGATCCAACAATCCCCATTGTTGGGAAAATTATCTGGACATGAAGAGTAAAGATAAAGCAACTGGCAAGAAAGGGTGGGTCAGAAAAAAAGAAAAACATTTTCAGGGCTAAAGAGATGGCTCAGTGGTTAAGACTCCTGTTCTTGCAGGAGTCCTGAGTTCAATGCCCAGCACTCACATGGTGGCTCACAACTGTCTATAATGGAATCCAATGCCATCTCCTGGTGTGTATACATACATGTAGACAAAACATTCATATACATAAAATACACAAATAAATACATCTTTAAAAAAGAAAAGAAACACATTTTCAGGTTAATTAAGCTGATAAAGTCTAGAAGAAAACTAATAATGCTTTGAAAATAAAAGTAGGATACAAAACCTTCGATCTGCATTTTGAATTTCCATTACAGTACAAGCAGGACTTCAAAGTTTGGAATGACTTAAGGAATGCCAGGCAGTTGCCCTGGACTGGAGCTTCAAAAAGCTCCCTTCAAAACTGACCAAGAACAAACTGTAGGTCTGGCAGCCCCACAGCCCAACTAGACTTTCCAACTGGGTGAGCTGGAACCTGTTTTGTTCACCAAGAGCCAGATTAGGACTCTCTAGCTTAGACTGATTCCAATCTTTCTTAGTATAGCTAAGCAGAAAGTCCATTTGACACTGATGAAGCATGAATCTTACAAGGGAGTCCTGGTTATCCCCAATTCAACGCTGTGAGAATTTAAAGAGTAGCCAGAGACAAACAAAGCTTTATTCAAAGCAGTGGCACTATGCCCACACATTCTGATACTCACTTCGGGGGGCACAAGACTTCTTCAAGAAATTCTTCAATCTTATTTACATCCGTTTTGACTTCGCTGTTGAAGGTTATAAATGGTGGGTGGGTCCCGGGAGCCAAGTTCTGTAGATCTGCAGGCTTCCTGTTAAGCAAAACAGTGGTCAAGATGAGATCACTTTTCACTCTAAAAGGCAACAGCGAGTTCTGGAGTGGTTCTAACCCTCCAGTTTGTAAGAATGAGCAAGCCCCAGGGTTCACCAAGTCTAAGAGTTGCACAGTACTCTAACAAGCAGAAACCACACACACAGCACATAATGTACGGGAAGAGCATTAAAAGTCTCTGCTTTACCAATCAAAAGACAAATCCTTCATCCTGGGCCTGAAAAGAAGGATCAAGAGTTAAGAATATGTATGGCTCTTACAGAGGACCCATGTTTAGCTCCCAACACCCACATAGGGCAACTCACAACCACCTGTAACTCCAGATCCAGAAGATCTGACACCCTCTTCTAGCCTCTATTACACAGGCACACACAGGCACACAAACATATGGTTAAAAATAAATAACATTTAAAAAGATAAAAAAAAAAACAAAGTTCTTCATTCTCATTCCAAATTCAGCTAGGCTGCCTAAAGGTGTTGGGAAATGAGGGGGCAGACTCAAGAAGGCCAGCCTGCAGGTTCAACTTTACACTGCCTACCGCTGAGCAGGACAGATGAGCCAAACTTCTCTAGGCCTACATTCTTTTCCAGTTTTCTTTGTTTTGCTTTGTCTGGGGGGGTGAGAATAAAACAAAGAAGAGCAAGCTCCCGCAGTTCTGAACTGTAAGAAGAAATCCTGATCCCTTTACCATGTCCATATGCGTCAGACTAACAGAGAGAGATGACTGGGAGACTATCTAGTCTCTTAATATGTAAAAGATGGTATGAGCAAGGTAAGAAATAGCACAAAATTGGCCGGGCGGTGGTGGCACACGCCTTTAATCCCAGCACTCGGGAGGCAGAGGCAGGCGGATCTCTGTGAGTTCGAGGCCAGCCTGGG